TGCTATCGTCTGTTGACTTCTCTTTGGGTGCCTCCGTGCTCCCCTCCATCTCTACCGCTGTCACCATTCTCAGATCTTGGTCTCTCAGTCTCTTGACCTCCTCACCTTCAATGATCTTGTCCTCCTCCCATCTTAGACACCTGCTCCCAAGGTCATTCTTTGTCACCACAGCAAAGACACAACCTACTTGATCTTGATTTCGAGCATCCCACTCTGATCCCCACTCCCATCCTTTAAGCCCACTCCCTCTAGTCCTCCTACGCAGCCTTTTTACCACTTTAGTAAGAAGTCCAATCCATCAGTCCTCACACAACATTTTTACCACCCTCATCCTCCATCCCTCATGTCCTTACTTTGGAACCATGTTCTATCATTGTAATCACTGCCTTCTCATAACTTTTCACTCCTCTGCTTCTCTCTCATGCTCTCATGTTCCTTGACAAAAAATTTTTGTAGTGGCATGTGTTGTTATTAAATAAATACAAAACAAATAAAAAATATATACAAAGTGATACAAAAATTATCCCTCAGGTCTAATTCAGTTTTAAAGGTCTGTGATAAGCTAATAAAGTGCTGGCTGCAATCGGTGTCTTATCCGAATGTATTATTTCTTCTATATTCATCTTATAGCCAATTTTATCATTCATGATTCACTGTATTTTCTATAAACTTCTGTCTTTATATAATTTCCAAATTTTTATGAATGTTGATCTTGACAAAATCTTAACCCTGATTAAATCTAATAGGCCACCACCTCCATGCCTGAAACCAAAGTGGTGAACTCTCCTGGAGAAAGACCACCATATTGACTGGTTTAACTTTAAATATATACCGGTGAGAACAGGCATTCGATAGTGCTTTAAAATCCCCACACTTCTCTAATACATTTGCTCACCTATTTCTAACCACTTCACAGTCTCTCCTCAAACCTCTGAAGCCTCTCCTCCCTCTTTACTCTTAGCTGATGATCTTGTTTCACATTTTACCAAAAGAAAAAAAAGGGAAGCAATTGGGCTTCATCATTTTTCACTACCAAATCTGAACATATATTCTCTGCTTTTCCTCCTATGACAATGAAGTATCTGGTCCTATTTATGGCCAATTTTCTCCATTTATTAACTAGATCCCATTCCTCTCAGCTTCTCAAGGACTTCAGCCTACAATCACCAGCTCACTCTCTCTCCCCCACATCACAAATGTTCTATTTTCTGGAGCATTTCTCTTAGCATACAAACTCATTCTAGTGACTCCCATCTTACCAATTACCAGGTATGCTCTGTTTTTAGTTGACTGCAATGGAGGAATGTCTTCCTCATCTGTTAAGTCCTCCATATCTCCAAAAAGAGTGGCCAGGTTTTCCTTTTGGTCTTCAGGAGTTTCCACTTCTCCATCATCAGCCTCCTCTGTGTAAGATTCACCGTCACCATCAGCATCGAAGAGCTCATCATATGTGTCAGGTTTACAACAGTAAACGTGGGTTGAGGGTTGGCTCTCTTCCGGATAACAATTCAAGGCTGACTCGTTCTCCTCCAGCAGTGCAGTCAGCAGAGACAATTCATCTTCCTCCACTAGGCACTTACATCGTAAACGCCTCTCATTACCCACAGGGAGTTTCAGTGGAGCTGGTTGGGGCAGACAGTATTATCTTAGGAAGGGCATGTTTACCTTGAAGAAAAAGAACCCTGAAGCCCCTCAGTGAGCTTTTACCGTATTCCATCCCTCAGACTCTGTCTCAAATGTAATGAAGACACCAAATTTTTTTTTTGACTTTGAAGAGTACCGAGTCTTCAAATATACGGCTGTATTACTGTGTCTATAGTACCATACTGTCAGATGGCAGCCACTTGCTCTCCCCCTTCTTAATCATATACAGTTCAAGAGCTTGGCAGTTTTAGTTTAGATTGACAAGGGTTAGGTGTTTTGCACTTGGCTACTTAGACAGACTGTACTAAAAACAACCCAGTCTCAGAGTAAAGATTACTGCTCTGCCCTGGGCTTCAGGAGAACCAATGAGGGAGATACAATGGGGCAGTGGTACAGAGCACAGTTAAAAGTCCTGTCTTTCCACTGATTTCATCCTGGGATTCATTCCTATTTTAACTGAGTATCTTAATTTTTCCACGTAACACATGCAAAGAATATAAATTTGTCTTAAAAGCTATTAGGAAGAAAAAGAGCATAGTTGTTTTTCTTAATATCAATTACAAGATATTATTATCCTGGTTAAACTTTACATACCTTTGTGTATTCAAAAACAGTCTCTATCACTGTTTCTGTCAGTTTCTGATTAAATATACTATCTGTCCATTTCCTTTTATATGTATCTTTCTGTATAAACAAGAAAAACTCTTCCTTAAACATTTCATATGCAAACATACTGAGTCATACCCAGTGCTGACTGCCAAGTTATGTCAAGTTCCCGAGCTGCTGGTGTTCTGTGGCTCTGCTATACAAACATGGTATGTTGAGAAGGCTCAGCCCTTGGGAAGGAGGGATAGGGAACATCTGGTGGGGCGTGTGGGCAGATGAGGAGCTGTCACAGGTACTGACCTTAGCCTCAGGCCGGAGAAGGCTTCCACGGAGACCGGCTGAGCTGCTTCCCCAGAACTTCTGGGGGCCCCTGCACCCTGATCTCTAGTCACCCCAGCAGGCTTGTTCCCAGGAGTTGCTTGGAGTGGCTGCGAAGGTGCACTTGTCATCCTCAAAGGTGAGCTTTTGGGCGCTAGGAAATGAACATAAAAAATTAAGAGCAAATAGAACCACAGTGTTAACTACATTGATTTTTGTGGAATTGTTGCTTTCTTCATCAATACCATACAATAACCAAATGT